TCTCCGACGCCAATATCCTCAAAATAATCTCCTCCCTCCTCCCACCACCACTAAACCCCGCCCCTGTCTCTCAAAAGTTGAAACCTTACATCCGTCTACTATATTCCCCACTTTTTCCCGGTCACCATCTCCGATAACCATTCTCTCTCTCTCTCTCTCTCTCTCTCTCTCTCTCTCTCTCTCACACACACACACTCACACCGACAATTAGCGATGGTACTCTCCGGAGAATCTGCAACTCATTGAAACTTTGCTGAAGGAATCTGCAAACGACTATCTCTGGTGAAAATACAACTCACTATAACGATCGTCATGCTCAATAAATGATCTATACTAAGCTCCACAGTTAATGTAAAAGCATCGCCACCAAGATCAACTCTGACAACTATTTTCTTCCGTTGATGTTATGGCTTTTAGAAATGAAAATCCTTATATGTATTATCATCAGATTAAGAACAAAATTAGCAGTGGTTCTTTTGATTTCGAAGATGAATTGCATTCCAGCTCTTGAAGATGTGTTGGGAATCAGGATGAAGAAGCTGCCCTGTGTCGTTTGGAGTTTCCAGATGTTTGGTTCTTCTCTTTTATGTGACAGATGATGGTTGAGGGTAATTATTCTTCTATGTTTTGAAAGCTCAAAAAAAATTCCCACTATAATGATAACAAAGGAATATTAGAGGGTGTTTGGCATTGTTTTTAAAAACATTTTTGGTTTTTAACTTTTCTAAAAAGTTGAAAAACATCCAAAAACATGTTTGGCTATTGAAAAAAATCTTTTAAAAATCACTTTTTGTATTGAAGAAAAACAGAGTGTTTCAAAAGTCACAAATCCTATCTTTTTGTGACTTTTAAGACTTTTAACATGAAAAGTTAACTTTTATGTCAAAAGTAAATACAAACACTTTTTAAAAAATTTCTTTTGGAAAAAATCACTAAACAAAAAGTCCTTTTTGAAAAAGGACTTTTAGCCTTAAAAAGTTTTCCCAAACACCCACTAAAACTTAGTTGAGATGAGCCACAAACCCACGATCCTCAGAAGGGGATAATATCCGGATCAGAATGTCAACCATCACTGGAAAAATAAAATGGTGTGTCGATCTGCAATTCGACCCCAGCTACCGACCCCGAAACTTTGCTTTTACGGTCTCTAAAAATCAAACACCTACAACTGCTTTGCAAATCGTGTTTGATGGACAGATCAGAAACATAAGCATATTCCCTGAAAATGAGATCGACAATGTAGTGATTCTCCCATTGATTTTTTATGATTGTGATAATCTATTTAATGGCAATGTCTGATAAAGGAAGAAGGAAGAATGAAAAATGGAGGAGGGGACGTGTCCATTTGGAAAAAAAAATCGGATTTCTCTCTAAATTAAAATGATGGGCATTATTGTCTATATTTTAAATTTTCAGTGGATCGATAAAAGGTCTCATTGGTAAAATCAGCTCCCCTAAAAATATTATGAAAAATATTACTGAAAGCAAATCAAATATTTGAATATATCTTTAATAACAAAAAAATGGAAAAAATATATACTCCAACAAATTAATACGTTCATTTTATTCGGTTAATCAAGATTTTTTTTTTCTCCACCACCTCCTTAAGTCGATTATGTCACATGATTGGCAATAATATATTTATTGGTTAACTTAACCTTTTATTCTGTTTAATTAGTAAAATATGTTTACATGTTTTTAGTGTAGTTTTCCTAAACATCAGTTTTCACACCTGAGAGAGAACAATTGGGCATGCAAATGATGATGTAAACGTTGAATACATCAGTAGGCCATAAAGATAGGATGGATATTTGAACTCAGAACCAGACCTATACATTTTTGGATCCTCGAGTCAGTTTTTGGTTCTAAAAAATGATCACAATCGGTTTGGTTTATAACCGGTTGGGTCCATCCGGTTCCAGATAAAAATCATTTTTGGACCATATTATTAAAAAAATCTTTTCAAATATTTTTCTAATTATCCATTTGACTAATTGTGTTTGTGGAGAGATGTTTATGGAATTTGACGTAAGAGGCATTATTTAATTTAAAGTTAAAGTACATTTTCATTTTTTTTGTATGATTTATTACGTAGAAACAGTAAACAAGCATGTCTCATTCATTTTAAGTCGGATTAACATGCAGTTTTTTCCGATATTTTAATTTAGAGTTTGTGTATAATTTTAAACTATAATTTTTTCGTTTTTGATGTTATATTCAATTATTACAATCCTTCAAAGTTGGGATATCAAAGTAGATAATTTTCAGCTTTTCAATTATTTTTTAGGCTTTTGTGTTTGTGAAAATCTTTAAGCATACATATCTCATTCGTTTTAAGTTTAATTGACATGCGGTTCTTTCCAACATGTAATTTAGAATTTTAAATTATTTTAGACTATAGTTTTATAATTTTGGTGTTATATTTAATGAATTATATTCCTCTAAAGTTGAGATATCAATGTTAGCCATGTATTTTATTATAGCATCTATTTGTTTATTTATTAGGCCCTTTGCATGACTTAGTCCATTATATTTATTTGTAGCCAATATCATGTATTTTATATATATATATATATATATATATATATATATATATATATATATATATATATATATATATATATATATATATATATATATATATATATAAAAGTTAGAAACACTTGATGAATTTAAGTCTTAAATTTAATACTAAGAGGTACCTCTTAGTCTTAAATTTAAGACTTTAATTCATCAAGTGTTTTAAATTTGAAAAGTTAGTCGAATCGGCTTGCCAACTTGGATTTTTGATATGTATGTGTGGGTCGTTGATAAGTTACTACAATCTACTGGTTCCAAGCACATATAAGAGAGTTCTCACGGATTGTGCCTTCATATCACTTTCGTCACCTAGAAAATCATTGATTTACCAACTCCAACCTATTCAAAGTAACTTTCTCTCACAACTATATTTATATTCATTGTGTTTTCCTTTGAACGAATTCGTTACCAAGGCTGAAAAGTCATAGAATATGTCTAAAACTATCTACCTAGGTTTATAATTAATTTTGATTTATGTTTTCTAGTTGATATAAGATTTATACCGGTTATTGTTAGGTTTAGTTCTTTTTTTTTTTTTTTTTTTTTTTTTTTTTTTTAATGTTTTGGTTACTTGACAACCATCCTCCCACACATCATCCCGTCTTTTCCATCGCTTCATAAGTTGCAACAGTTGCTACCCAATGACGTTCATGGTGTTTCCCCTTACAGTCGCGAGTCCTAGTGATGACAGAATCAATCGATAAACAACCTTTGATATTTGTAGCAATAGAAGGTGAAATTGTTTATGGTTATAACATTAAATAGTTTCTGTAAGTCCCTAAAATTGAATCTTCTCAAGATATCAACGCAATTGTTTGAGTTAATGTGAAATCTTAATAAAGCAACTATGTAAAACAAACAATTAGATTAATCAATGAACACGTTTCAAATAAAGCACAA